TTCCCTCGCACCGCCCAACCTCTCTTCACTTCTTGTACGTCTAGTGTCGGCCTACTCTGGACACGACGTTCCCAGTCGGCGCCTCCCATTGGCTGAAACCACCGACCAGCCGACCAGCCGGCCAGCCGGCAATTCTGATCCGACTCTGGCCCCGTCTGAAGGAGCGGTCTGTCTAAACTCACCGAGACCGACCCCTTTTGTTGCTGGCCTCTCTCTCTCTCTCTTCCCGTCAGCTCTTGGCGACAAGCGATTCGGCCCGGGGACACATGACACACACACACACACAGAGAGAGAGAGAGAGAGAGAGCCTGTGACTGGGCTACTCGAGACGAGCGACTCGCTCTTGAGGTGACGGCAAGAGCTCATTTCGTCTCGTCTCACACCGGCCTTCCCTGGCCTCAGTGAGCGGGCAAAGGGAAACGCCAATTGGCTGCACCAATCAGACGGCAGGGAAGTCTGTCGGCTCGGCCAATCACAGACGCGCCTTGTCCACTCTCGTCACTCGAGAGTCCCAACGAGTGTTGACGCGCTTTTTTGAGCATCTCATCAACGCTTTCTGGCCGTCCGTACACCCAATTGCCGGTCTTCTCGGCTCTGGCGCAAAACGCCAGAGGCAGAAGACATTCAAGTCTTCTGTTCACGGCTCTTCTATTTCTACATTTTCTCACGATAGAGTAGCCGGTCTCTGAGGCCTACCTTTAAGACAATCGTGTTGAGCAGACTTTCGGTTGGCAGCAAAGTCTGCCAGACGAAGAGATGCTCGCGTTGAAATCACCGGAAAACGACAGAATATGTCCGCTTTTCTATCCATGTTCTGTGCAAACACGGCCTCAACTTTCTTTCGTCATGCCACGTTTGACAGATATCATCACAGCTAGAGCTCACTTTAGCAGAAGCACAAATGAAATATGTATAAATATAGAATTTATATATTGATATATTGATATATGCGATCAGAGAAAGAGCGAGAGAGATACTGAAAGTCAAAGAATTAAAGATGCCTGTCTAGCTGGCAAGATAAGTAGTGGGATAAAATGATTACTATTTACTATTTACTGAAAATAGATAGCGGAATATCGAATTATTTGTTTTGATTTTTGTTTAATTGACTTGGTAGAATTTACATGATTATATAAGTGCTTATGTACAAGACAAATATCGACATAAAGAATGCCGAACTGACGAAATGTCCAGAATAACAGGCAATTTTATGTGAAATGATCAAGACAAAAATCATAATGGAGGACCGAACATCTTGGCTTTCATAGTTAGGAGCAATTTTAGTGTTTATCTGTCGTTTATATGCATGTTTCCGAAACTATCAC